TCCGCTTGATCCGCTTGATCCACTTCGCTATTGGTCAAATGGACTAAGGATCAAGCGAATCAAGCGGATCAAGTGAAACGTCCGCTCATTGGTCAGTTCACTGATTTGACCGGTAGCGAAATGACTGAAGCGGATTAAGCAGATCAAGTATGGCGCGCACTTTACTACTTGAACGCTTTGAATCATGGTTACCTGCTGAGTGGGAATCCCGGAAGCGAAGCTTGCCACTACAGTAATGAACAAGGTGACCATCAAAATGTAAGCATTGTAGCCGCAGTCGATGTTGCAGTAACTAATCAAGTCGCTGATCTATTGGTGTCTAACAATAAGTTGAAATAAGAGAATTACCCTTGTTGGAGAGTTTCTGCGTGGTGCACTTCTGGATGATTTGTGAAGTTCTCCTTCAAGCAGCTGCAATCCGACCAAATGTTCTTCTTAAATTATGAATTTAGTGGTTTGTTTTACAGCGGTCAGTCAATAATTTCAAATCAGATTTGTCTCAAACAACTTACCCCATGCGAATCCGCATGTTTTTGAGTGCAGCCTGCAAAGCAAGGAGAAAAGTACATTCTACCAGTCTCAGCCTCGCAAACTGGATTCCATTCTTCCTGTAACGAGAAGCGTTTTTTATGTTGATAGTCATTTTCATGGATTGGTTCAAACTTTTATAATGGTAATGCCGTTATGAATTCACCTTACAGTTGCAGTGCTCGTTACATTCTGCCTTGATATCGTGATCGCTAACATGGATAGCTCTAGATAAACTTATATTTCTAAACTTCAAAAAACTTCACATGATAGTGGAACTTACAAATCTGTATAATCAGTGTTGATGCCAACAAAACCTCTCTGTGGACAATGTAGTAGTAAGCCAGTAGTGAATAAAAGAGCCACAACATGACAGCAAATAATCATCTTCAACATGCCTCCGACCTTTGAATAAGGTTCTCAAAGTTTGTGAAGCACAAAATTTGTATCTACTTACCTGCAATCGCATCTTTCGAATCACCATTCCGCCTATCATTACACCAGCTGCAGCGGCAAATATCACCACAGCTAAACGTTCGAATATTTATAGGTAAAAAACAAGTAGCTGTTGTGACGAATCACCGCTATTCCTCGTTTTTATGCGCGAAACTTGCTTTAATGTTGAAAGAAAGGCATATTTAAATTTAAACTGCTTGACCACAATCAAAACAATTGCAGTCATATGTTCTCGTTTCCCCTCAGGCACACAACCATAATTCAGCACACAACCATAATTCAGCTATTCGTCCGCTCTATTTATATTTTTCTATTTTTTTTCTATTTTTTCCGCTCTGTTCATGTTTCTGCAATTTATTAAACTCTTCCATCCATTCAATCGCACATTCATTCATTCACTCATTCATTCATTCATTCATTCATT